GAGCGTGTGGTGCCGCCCCAGGGAGTGCCGGACGCGCCGCCCGCGGCTGGGGCGCTTTAAGAGCGCGTTCAGTGCCCGTGACCGTGCCCGGCAGCATTACACAGCCCGCTCCAGCCTGCGGGAAACATCCAGACTCTTCCCGTAGCACCATAACTCTCTCTCTGCTGGTAGAACATGAGTTGGGTGGTTTCCCTCGCGTTCTGTATTTGGTGTCGGCATTGGGCTGCTTTTGACGTCACTCATGGTAGTGACCACGCGGGTTGGCTTTCATGACTACATGAAGGGATGAAATACCGCCGTGATTTGAGATCAAAGTACAAAACGCCTTTGGTTTCTGACTCTTAAAAGAGAAAAACCAAAACAAACCAAAACCCCTGTCTTCTATGGAAATACATATCTGTTTCAATAGAAAGGAGAACTTCTTGTTTTGTCCTCCAGAGATAAATCTTGACTACGGAAATCCTGAAGCAGTCTAGTCATACGTCTTTTCTAACTTCTTGTGTTGCAGGTTGAAGTTTGCACTGCAGTCACTGCTGCAGATGTGTGAGATTTGCTGTTGCATAGCTATGTCTTAACCGAAGATGTCTTCGTTTTGATGTCCCCTTCTGAATGTGGTAGGATATAGCTAGTGATAGCTAGGGAAATACTTGATCATGCATCATCTCCTGAGATAGGTAAACAATGCAATATATTTTAAGCTGTTTTGCTGGGGTTTTTTTGGTGTGGTGTTTTTTTTTCTATGAGATCACAAAAATAAGCATCTCGTTTGCTGCGTTTTGACTTTTGCAACTTTTGTTGTGGTAGCAAGAATTCTGCCCGCCTTTGGTTTATGTAATGCTTAGATGCTAACTGATGGCTTGCTACTCCAAGCAGTTTTATATTTAGGCAGTTTATACATGTTATGACCCTGCAGAATGTAAGACTGAATGCATTTGTAGTGCATTGTATTCCACATGCCATTATTCATGCTGTCTTCCAAATAATGGTCACAGATGAAAATTTATAGCAATTTTACAGTGTATTGCATTGATTTTTAAATTGCTCTGAGAATATGGGGGAACTTACTGTTGTGTAGTATAAGTAGTAGCGAAAACGTTGTCATAAATTCTTCATCACCTGCAATACTGAAAATGAAAAAGTAGTGTAGCTTTGTATGCTTTCCAAAAAGGTTCAGAGTCTGTCAGCACAAGCGCTGGTAATTGCAGTTTAGGCATTAGGGGTGGGAGTTTGCATGGGGGAGTCTGTTTATGTGGCGTCCTGGTACTGCAGAGTGACTCTGAAGCTGTAGCCTGTGCTGACTGCAGTGCAAGACCAGGGACTTGGGTTTCAACTTTTTTTTTTTTTTTTTTTTTAAATTCTAAGTTCAGTTGACTCATAGTTGTTCAAATGTAATGACTGACACATCATATTATTCTTTGTGTTGCATAACTGGATTGATCAGAGCTGACCAGTTTTTTCCAAGCTATGAGTCAAGTGTTGTTTTGGGGGATGATCTAGAGGCTGTACACAGCGCTTTCTGGAGTCCTGCAGCTCCTGGTGTAGACAGTAGCCTGTACTGCCTCCTTAAAAGGTGTTTGAGGTCGTTTCCACTGGCTAGAGTTGGTTGTGACTGCCATTTGTATAGATCTGGGTTAGGGATTAGAGAAGTTTTACAAAGAATGATATTTCAAGGTTTTGAAACAAGGTTTTATAAAACGGAGGACCTGCATATCTTAAAAGTTATATCTGAAGTGGGAAGGAAAGCATTTCACTGCAGAGTTAATGTAAATACTGTCCAAGTAAATCACACTCTTAAAAAAATTGTTCAATGTTTCAATATATTGGTATATAGAAAGCGAACTTGTGCATTACATGCTATATAGAAGGTAACATAAATGTTAGGCACAATACTGAAAACCCATACATTTTCCTTTTTTTTTTTTTTAACAGCTACACAGAAAGGATATTCTAGAAAAGTGAAGTTGGAAGATCTCTGCAATCAAGAGAAGCATAAACATGTTGTGCTGGGGAAATGCATCTTTTGGACAGCTTGGATTGGGTGGAATTGATGAAGAGATTGTTTTAGAACCCAGAAAAAGTGACTTTTTCTTAAATAAAAGGGTCAGAGATGTAGGATGTGGACTGAGACATACTGTTTTTGTCCTGGATGATGGGACTGTTTATACATGTGGATGCAATGATCTAGGACAACTAGGGCATGAAAAAGCCAGGAAAAGACCCGGTAAGTTAAGAATTAGTGAATTGTGGACAGTATGTGTGGTTGTGCCTATATTTTTTGTTTCATTATGCTAGATCAAACCCAAGATTGCCAGGGTCTGTGCATGTGCTGAACTGTATGCACAGTAGTCCTTCCAAGAATGGGCATATTTTTAAATTGAAAAGCATTCCTTTGCTTGGGTTGCATCTTGTGACAGTTGGAAACAACCAACTGTGAAACATGGCTGCTCCCCATATTTTTGCCTGCTGTGCAGCTGGACAGTGCCACTTTTTTATTTCCAGCGTTGAATCACTTTACCTAAGATGGTGTGAGACTCAGTGGCTGGTTTTAATCTCAAGGGGAGGAGACCTGCTTAATACATGGATTAGCACTGTACTGTGTATAAGGGTTTGGGTACTGGAATATGGTAGAAATGAGTATTTGGCATACCGTAGTTGAGAAACACACTGTGTGGTTTTAGTCTAGTGTGTGACTTTTCAGTATATGCAGTGCTACAGGAAGAGGATTTGGAAAAGCCTAAAGGATGCAACATAAAACTTCTTTGGGGTTTTTTCTTCCTATCTATGTTATATGTATTTCTGCTTCTTGCTAGTGCAGTTTGGTAGCAGAAGTGGGTAAACATCTTGCAGGGACTGCAGAGGAGTGTGCACATGGGCTCTCTTCAGAGCTGTGCATGTGAGTCATAACTGCATGCTACTGAGCAGTGCTTCTGACAGTACTTTCAGTGTAACATAAGCAAGCTGAAAAGCATCAGGAAGAGTTTATTCCAATCACTGCTGTAGCAATTTTACAAGTACTTGGTGTGGTAGTTGATACAAATATTTCAAAAGGAAATAAGGCATTGTGCAGCATTTTAGCAGTGCTCCTTTATTCAGAGTTTTGGATTTGGTTCCAAGTAAAGGTTGTGGGGTTTTTTTAGTTGATATGTAACTTTTAAAAACTAATTTGGACTTCTATTGGGAAACAGTAAATGGATATTAAAACTAATAAACTTTAATCCTGTGCAAACATCTGCTTCATGAACATGAATAGAAACCGAGCTTGTCAAACTGAATACTTGTTACCCACTTGGAAAATGATGCTGAATTGTCTTTTAAATCTAAAAGTTACAACAAAAGTATCTGACTTAGTTTTTGTTTTTTAAAAACAATCTTGTATGACCTTTCATATATAATGGACAAACACCTACTACAAATCCTTTTTTTTTTTGACATGCTCAGACACAGCAGTCATGAGTGCTGTAGTGTCCTCCTGCCTAATTTTTCTTCCATCTAGAGGTTACTGGCAGTACTGTTGAATGTTCTAATGTGAAGTCAGTGCAGTGCATTGGGATAACTTCTCTTGTGCAGTCTAAAGCTGCTCAGTGTCTTTACAAATGGGTGGATACTCTCATTTGAATGTATTTCTGCTAACTGAAGATAATTTTGTTGCTGACTGCATGTCTTTGCCACCTCCGTGTCACCAGTGGCACTATTTAGCTGTGCCTTCCCTCTTTCCTCCCCACCGAGCTCTGCTTGCCATAGGGATTGTGTGAATGTTCCTTAATCCATATTAGGCAAAGTCAGCCTGGCTAGTTTAGCAGCTGGTGAAGACAATCTGAGCTAATCTGCATGCAGTTGCCTGAACTGCAGAACACTTACATGACCTCCTCCACTGGCAGAGCTGTGGAGGCCATAATGGGCTGAATTGGGGTGGTAACCCCTTTAATCAAGCCAGCTATTTGAAAAAATGAACTTCTGTCTGCTGCTTGTATTACTTTATTTTGGAAACTGAGTGTCTGTGTGTTGCAGATCCTGTTAGCTACTGTTTTGAAAGGGACTTAGGCTGTGCTAGGCTCTGTTTACAGTGCATGTCACATTGATGATACACAGGCTTTTTTGGTGGTATGCCATTCTTAGGCAGAAATAGAATTTATGTGTTTGAAAACTGAGCATAAAATGTCGAAGCAGGCCCTTATTTAAGGGGACTGTTGAAAATTCCAGTCTTAATGACAGGCCCTGATGATATTTCTCCACTTCACTGTTGCTGGAAAGAAAATGTTAGACTTCTGATCACAAATCATGAGCACGAAAATGAACTTTGAGTTTTTCCCGCTATATTTAAAGGTATTGATGCAGGTTACTGGAAAAAAAATCACAGATATTTTAGTGTTTGCTTTTTCAGAGGCATGTACGCTGTATGTGTAGAAAAATTACTCTTTAGGATCTGTTTCTAAAGTATTTTGCATTATAAAGAGGACATTGTGTAACTCATTGCAAAATCAGTAGCTTTAGTCTTTTAATTTGTCCTGCCTTGTTTTGCAGACTTTTTTGTTAATAATGAATAGGTGAATTTAATTTGCTGTGGTGGAATGTTTTCCTCTTACATAATGTCTACACACGTAGTCATTTGACAATAATCTATTTGACCTTAATGTTAATTGAGTTTCTGCACTCATTTTCAGATGGCAAGATTAGAAGGAACCATTATGATCAAGCTGCAATTTTTGTGCATTTCCATATATTGCTCCAGATAGCACTGTTGTTTTGTTACTTTGGGGTGTGAAATTTAACTTGCTTCTCCTGGAATAGCATGCTTATCATTTTAAATAAAGGATGTTTTGGCAGACTTCTGGACTTACATCTGTGTCAGTTCAATTGATCTCTTAGTACTGAGTATAACTGTCTTGAACAACACTTAAGTTGTTGGTATCTTTTTTTTTAAACAACTGACTTTTTTTTTTTTTTTTTTTTTTTTTGTAGAGCATGTAGGTGCACTGGATGCCCAAAATATTGTAGCTGTATCATGTGGAGAGGCCCACACTCTTGCATTAAATGACAAGGGTCAGGTATATGCTTGGGGTCTGGCTACTGATGGACAGCTTGGCTTGCCGGGAACAGAGGAGTGCATCAGAGTGCCCAGGTTAAAAATAAGTATATGTTAAGTTTTAGTGTTTGGTTTGGTTTTGGTTTTTTTTTAGTGTGCTTAAATCACATTGGTTAAGCTATTCTGCTCTTATAATTAAAAACGCACATTAGAAAGTGTATTTTAGCTACGGCACTTGTATGCTGCAGACAGTTTCCTTTCTCAAAAGCCAACTTATGAGAAGTGTATTACGGGTTTGCTTGGTTTGGTTTTGTTTTTATATTCTTTTTTTAATAGTCATCTACTAAGAATGAGAGTTATGTTGGAAAAGTAGGATGGGTATTTTCAGAATATAAATGGGGATTGATACCTGCCATTTAAGAGAAGTTAAAGAGAAGTAGAATGTTAAACTTTCCAAACCAGTTGTGGGAGTACATTTGAAGAAGGTACGTTTGCTCTCTGACCTTTGTACTTCAGTTTGCACCCCAAAGTTTTTTAGCTGTGATCAAATAATGTGCCTTCTAGTTATAAAAATGAATGCAAGCCAGATTCACTTGCTTGTTTTCAGAATGCTGTAAGCATTCCAGCTAGCTGAAGTCCACATTTTTGCTGTGATGAATAGGTTCACTGAAATCAGTGGAACTGTTTGTAGCATAAGTTTGTATGTTTGCAAGCTGGAGGTTTTCTTTTCTAATTTTGTTGTTTATGCAGGAAAAAGACACACAAAAGGAACAATTCCTTGAAACATTAGTAATTTATAACTTTATCATGGCTATCTGTGATGTACATAAATATGAAAGATATAAATAACTAATATAAAGGAGTTTTATTTCTGTATCAAATTTTAAAGCCCACAGGCCTTTTAGAAATTGCTTTTCTCGTCAAAAGTTGAAAGCGTACTAGATGTAATGCACATTTGTATGTATTTGCACCTTTATAATATTGTGCAGTACTTAATAGCTCTGTAAATTGAAGTTTTGACTGAAGTTAATGTTGGTAGAGATGAAAAATTAAGTGTTCAAATTTTAAACAGAAAGTAGTTCAGTCTAATAGTGATATGAAGAAGAATGTAAACCTTTTTCACTTTCGGGAACTAGATTTTCTTCTTGCATCCAGTATTCATTTCCTTTGTTCAGCTGTGTGACACCTCCTTCCTAGCTCATGAACCTCTAATTCTTCATTATGCTCTTTTACAGGCTATTAATTTGAAAATAAGATAGAACCTGTCCTTGAAAGTGTTAGAAAAGCAGCAGTTACAGTTTAAGACTGTACTAAATAGCTCCTAATTAATCTTAACATATTTAAATAAGTTTCATATACACTTCAGTGAAAAGGATTCACTTTTTATATATTACCCTTTGACGTGACTTTCTATTTCATACCGTGACCTAGTAGCTTAATTCTTTCTCTGTTTTCTTACCCTGATAGGAATATTAAAAGCTTATCAGAGATCCAGATCGTTCAAGTTGCTTGTGGTTATTATCACTCGCTAGCACTCTCAAAAGGTAAGGCAAATTCTTCTGAAGTTTTGTGTAATTTCTTACCAGGTATTGAATTATATGCATTGTAGGGTGTTTTTTTGTTGGGTGATTTCTTGGTTTGTTTTTTTTTGTCCTGGTTGTAAAAGAATCCACAGAAGTTCTTGCAATATAGCAAGGTTATGGCCTTAAAAATAGACCCACACAGGGAGGAAAATTGGAGCATTTTCAGAGGGGACTTTGTAATAATTTTAAACCTGTAGGGGATGTTGATCAGGTGGATTAGTTTATGTGATTAGAAATGGTTGGCATAGTATTTCTTTGGTGTTAGGAAGATTATTTTGTATAAAAGTGGTGGTTTGGGGGTTGGGTGGGTTTTTTTCGTGCAGTTTGTTTTGATTTGGTTTGGGGTTTTGGTGGTTGTTATTTAAATAAATAAATACAGTCTGAGACACCTGTATACCAGGGGATGAGTTT